GTCCAACCACCATCACACCCCACCCCGTCCCCCGAGAGGAGGAGATCAACTGGATCCTTAACGAGGTCCGCCGCTACCTGGCTCCGGATATTAACGTGCGTCGTGGGGATGTTCTCGCGGCCTGGTCTGGAATTCGTCCGCTTGTCAAAGATCCCGACGCTAAAAACACCGAGTCTTTGGTTCGAAACCATCTCATCAATGTCTCGGATAATGGGCTCATCACAATCGCGGGAGGGAAGTGGACCACTTATCGTCAAATGGCTGAGGAGGCTGTCGACGAAGCTGTGAGAAGATTCAATCTCAAAACGGGACCGATCGACTGCACCGACTGTATGTCAACCATACCAGAGTCTGATGGCGGAGTCACCATTGATGGGAAATGCAGAACGGATCAATTGAAACTGATCGGCGCTCACGGTTACAACAAGACATTGTTCATTAACCTCATTCAGCACTTTGGTGTGGAAACCGAGGTCGCCCAACATCTTGCCGGTGCCTACGGAGATCGCGCATGGATCGTCGCCTCACTATCGGCCCCGACATCGCAGCGCTTTCCTGTCCGTGGTAAACGCTTGTCCACCCTTTATCCGTTCATTGATGGGGAGGTAAGGTATGCCGTTCGTCATGAGTATGCGCAGACAGCGGTGGATGTTATTGCACGCAGAACTCGTCTTGCATTTTTGAATGTTCAGGCAGCCCTTGAGGCCCTTCCTGGCGTCATTGACATCATGTCTGAGGAGTTGAAGTGGAGCAAAGACCGGAAGGGTAAAGAGTGGAAAGAGGCCGTCAGCTTCTTGGTTAGTATGGGCTTGCCGGAGAAGAGGGTTCGTGTGACAAGGAAGGAAGTAGAGGCTGGTATCGTGAGCCAGTGGGGTGTTGAAGAGAAGTCCTTCTCAAGACACGGTACGTTTCCCAATCCCAAATTCCGATATAATTACCGCAAGCGCTGAACAGCTGGATAAATAGAAGGTCCAAGAGGCGCTTACGACTCCAGCCTGAGTAGGATTCGGAACGGGGGAGTCTGATTCTCAATGCGTTTTTTCGTATCGCTTCGCCGTCAATGTGAATTTCCAAACTTTGGATGGTTTGGGCAAGCGGCTCGTTCGGATTAGGGTTCCCCTTTTCGCCGCCTCAACTTGACTGTTCTCTGTGCCATATTCTTTCTTTTGGTTATAGTACTCGTAGAAAATAGAAGTTATACCTCGGTAGAGTCATGAAGCGTCACTCGAATTTCACCAGAAGTGCGGGACTGCCTAGGGGCTGAGGCTAGGGCCAGGAGTGGATGGGATCGGTCGCAATGTATCTTCCCAATACGGAAATAGCTTTTTGCATCATAATGAACCGGGAAATTTGCTCTATCTTTGTTTCCCGCTGCTCTGTAAGTCATGATTTTTAGAAATAAACGGGCTAACCGGAGCCAGGACAATACCGAACGACGATGAAACGAAACGGCGATCACTAATTGCGCTGTGAAAACTCTGCACAACCAAAAGCGGGGAAGTTCACCAAGGTCGCTCCGCAACTCGCTCTATTCAACGACTCTCTCTCTCTTGCTCCACGACTCCACGACTCCAGGACTCCACGGCTAACTAAACTAACTGACAGGAAAAGACAGGAGTATAAATAAACGACAACGATCACCTATCTTATCCTTCCTACGATCACCACATACCGGTATCTCTAACACACCCCACGCTCGTCTCCATTTTCTCTGTGCGCTCCCATGCTATCAATCATGCTCATGCTAACAGAAGAGAGAACAAACAATAGACTCAAAGACTCTCCAATTGCCTTCCGCGCTCCCACTGCCTTCCACGCTCCCGTGCTAATAAAAGAAATACAGGAACAAAGACTCCCGACGGTCTATAACTCCCTTGCCAATCATATCCTTCTCCATTGGAACCGCACAACGAGAACCTCGGCCCCAACAAAGCAAATGGGCCAACCAACTAGTGGCGGGAGGGGAACGAACAAACAGCCAGCTCTGGGAATGTATATGTTACAATCATAATTTATTTCTTATCAATCATTACCCTACCTTTGTCATTTATCATCCACGGTATTTCTCAGCATGCTACTCAGTATATTCTATCACTTGTTTCACTTCCACCAAAATTTTCACTTTTTGTTTCTGAACTACTCCTTCATAAAAATCTTAATTAAAAAGAAAAAAGCGCTGGTTTGTTCTCCTCAGAAGTAGCTTCATCACAGCGCTTTTTTCTCTTCTTAATTTGT